GCTACCTTTTCTGCACTCCACCTAAATCCCTTTCCTAGTAAAATAGGCACCATTTCTCCTTGTCTGTTCAAGTTACAAAGCAGTCCTAGCAGGGGCTATTTTTAGTATGCAAGCACAAAAACCCAGCTGAGCTGGACTCTGATCTCAGCTGGGCCTTCTCATTGGCTTCATATCATAAAAAAGTAAACAAAAAGCAAGGCTAAGCCTACAACAGAGCTCATCCACGGGATGGCAATTTGATGGCAGAGAAACCACCATTTTCAGAAAACAGTGAACTGCAGGTACAAAGTTGGAGTCAGGCAGCAATCCAAGAGATTAAAATGGATCACTAGTGCCTGTATTCATTCACTGGCTACCAGTGAGCTGCAAACCATTTTCAAATTCACTTCAGATGTAACACCGTCACCAAGCACTGATGGAGGTGTTTCTTAAGAACACAAGCTGAAAGAACTCGTAACTGTGCTCTCAGACATGGCAGCAAATGCTGGGATAGAGGGAAAGTACCAAAAGCTACATCCAAGAATGGGAACTCCACAGAGCTTTGTTTCACAGCATAAACAAGCACATCATCCCAATCTTTTGAGAGAGACTGCAAGTACCAGAAACAATACCTCCACATTTGGAGAAACTTGTATTTGCTGCTCTCAGAAGTGTAACTTAACACTAGAAAACTGCTAGAGGTCAGGGCATCAGATCACAGGTCCCCTACAGAGCATGCAGTCAAGAAGAGAAATGATGAAATGAAGAGGAGATGAAAAAATCAGAGGTGTGTTAAAAAAATAGTCATGATTGATCTCTAATTAAAGTATCAGTAATCATCCCAAAATAAGTCTGACTGCAGCCGAGTTTCTGCCCCCAGCCAGGCCAGGGTGCTTAGCAGAGGTTCTCAGTCTTGTGAAGCCAGTCACAGTTGCAGAACAACCGTGGAAAGAATAGACCCAGCAAAAACTAGTATAAAAGGCCCATGCACACAGCTCTTCCAGACTTTCTGTATCCCAAAGGCACAGGAACAGTTCTGTGCTTGGTTTACCAGCCTTTGCATCAGTGATGTGTCTTCCTAGAAGCACAAGTGTTTGCATAGACCAGAGCAAACTAGCTCTTTCTAGAAGTACACTCTACTCCTAATCATTCCCCTTCTGTGGCTAAAAAACCCTGTTTCATTGCATCACCTGGAATCACAATCTTGTGCAACAGGACATATTTACAAGCCTCTCTTATGCAACTAGGTTGATTCCCATCTGCAGTCTTCCAATATCCAGATATTGCAAACTCCCTAAGTACAATTGCCACCTGTTTCACCCACTCTAAGGATGCTCTCAGTATGCCCTACCCACTGCAAACACCATACCTAGGCTGCAGGCTCCCACATCCAGCTATCCTACTGCTAGTGTCTCCTTGGTTTGCACTATGATCCAGACCCTAGCTCTGCTCCATTGGAAACAGCCAGCCAGATACCTGCAGCACCCAAGGACCTGGTTCTAGCCCACCTTGCCTGCACCAATCCAAGTCAACATTGCTTCTCTGTAATGTTCCTTACTCTGCAATGAGCACACCTCTGGATTCCTCAGGATCCATGCTTCTCTTGGGAAGATGAAAAACATCTGCTACTACTTAAGATGGAAACAAGAAGCTAGACTCCAAACTTATCACACAGAAGAGAGCACTGTATCCTGTAATACCCTACATAGCCCATCAGCTGCATACCAGTTGCAACATTCTCCCTTGGAGGGCATTTTCTCTGTGCCATCTCCAGTAACACAGGTCACAAGCACAGCACCAAGGTACACAGGGATGCACCTCTGCTAGAAGCTGTGTTAAGAGAGCATGTCCTTGACTCCAGGCAGGAGAGATGCACTTGCTGACCTTCTACTGGGAGAAAACCTAGCCCATTTCAGGCAAGGCAAACTGGATTGGCAGAGACCTGCTATTTAAATTCTTGGAGGGGACATGGCTGGAAGGGATTGCATAGAACTAACCTACACACTTGTGCTGCAAGCCAGTGACATGCCTACTTCCAGTTAGTAGCAGCATCTGCCTCCATCAACAACACTAAAGCTGGATGCCTAACAAACCTACATTAACTTGACCAAACATTAGGGTTTTTTTTATTCAAATGGACAAAGAAGAACTATCATCCACTGTGTAAAGCTACACACCAGTTACCATCACAGTGATGATGCTCATGCCTGGTCTCCAAAGCCAGTTTGCAATCCATAAACCTGACCAAGAAGCTTATAAAGGTAAACTGCTTTACTGATGTGATCATGTCTTTGGGACATCTATGAAATCTTGCCCCCATATCCCCCAACCAACCTTTTAAATCAAGTCTCAGCAATATTTCTGAACTTATTTTCACTTTGATGACACTTGCCTGTGCTGAACTCTGTTCTGCTAAGGCTTTATTCAAGTCCCTGCTACAAGGAAAGCCAGGCCCAGTCACATTACATTAGTTAGAAAAAGATTTCTATCTTTCCTTATGAGCAGAATGCTCACATAGGCACCAATTTCTTACAAATCCTTATATGCCCAGCTGCCAGGTAAGAAGGTAGGGTATGCAGCAGCCTTTCCAGTGCTTCATTTCAACTGTCTGAGAATAAACGTTGTGCAATCAGTTACGAGCAGCTGTCCCAGCCTGCCACCCACTGGCCTACAGGAATGTGATCTGTGCTGTCTGACCAGTATTTTTCAAGTCAACACGTTTCAGACATGGAAGCTGACTGCAATGCACTCTGCTGGCATAGCTGACACAAAACAGCTTCTCTCAGAGCAACAGTGTTATTTGCAGAGCCTGATTTATACTAATCATTGCTTGCAGTTATTGTAAATTAACTGTTACTACAATGACTACCACAGCAGCACAAAGCCTTAAAGTATGCAAAAGATTGAATGGATGGAATTAAAACTAATGAGATAAAGACTTCAAGCAGATTCAAACTATGAGAAGAATTTAGAGTGAAAACATCATGGAAAAGGTCTAAAAGAGTATTTAAAAACAAAGAGGGTGGCTCACTTGGAGCTTCAAACACAGTTACTGGCAGGGCATAAAGCCCACAACAGTCTAGACTGCTTCTGGAGTAGGGACACAAAGTGATGTTTGTCATGTCAATACTAGCTGCAGCCTCCCTGGGGAAAATGAGAAAGGCCTTTGAACTAGCTTAGGATAAACAGAGTAAGACTTTTTCAGACTCAGTCCAAAGGCAGTTAGGTAGAAGCAGCCAGTTTCTGGCTACTGAATTTGATTTGCAGAGACCACCCAGCTGCTGGAGCTAGGGTCAGAAGGACCCAGCACAGAACAGTATTTTACTGTAAAACAGCATAAACAATAGGGGCAAAAGGGCATGAAGCAACCATGGCTTCTGAGAGCAACAGCATACCAGGAGAAAATCATCCAGGCACTGCTGGCACACCAGAAGAGCCTAGGATGAAGCAGCCAGAAGTGAGGACAAGAGGCATAATGTGCATTTCTAGGAAAAGTCAAAGCTTTGCCAGCACAAATTGTCCAGCCTGGGGCCACTGGTTGCTCTAGTACCAGTGACTAGGATTTTATGATATCTGTCACAGGTGACAGTGATGCTACCTGTAAATGCTCTTCCATATAGGGGCTACATATCCACAAGCAATATGTGGCTGCTGCTGGAACTGAACTACCTGAACAGAAGCTGAGCATAAACAAGAAACCTTAAACAACTGTGAGCCAAAAAAATGTTCCTTTTTACAGCGAGACTGCAGGGTGGTGTGGCTGATAAAAGATGCACAGATCAGATTCCATGGGGTACCAAAAGGAAAAAGCAGTAAGTCATGGAAAAGCCAACTACTGAACAATCCTTAGATACTGCCACTGAACTGCCCATTCTCTGAGCTTCTCTGGTTGATGCTGCTTCAGGCAGTGTGCCCAGAGCACAGCCACACAGCCTACTTCAAGCATGATTAGAAGTTTAGTCACAAAAAAATAAGCAAAGCTCAGATACTTGTTACTCAGAAAGCAGGCCTTAGAAGTATATGGCTTGCTGAGCTGTGTGCACATATGGCAAATGACAGCCAACCTGTAAAAAAAATGACCCTGGGGCTTACAGACTGAGTTGCTTCAACTGTGACAGTGTAAACCCAGCTGGCCATACTAAGGTTAAAGAGGTTTATCTTACAGAAGACTGGCAAGGGCTCTGCTTCCATTAGCCCTGAAGTTTTAAACAGATTCTTATTGCTAGCAGGAAGTATAAAGAAAATATGAAGTACTATAAAGTAGCCTGAAGACATTCAAACCATCTACACATACCTATGCTTTTGAAAGCTTTGGTTTCCTTTCTGTGCAGCACATAGGAAGTAAAACTTTAAGAGTGACTCAAACAGCAGCAAGACCTCAAGTCTTCACATTTCATGTCAACACCCACACCAAGAACAATACTATTGGGTTAAATATTTCTCCCTAGTGCTCTGAATGAAGAGCTCCACGTGAGTCATTTGTCATAGGTCTGTGCCTGAAACCTCAGTTTATTGTTTTACATCCCACACAAAATCTTGCCATACAACAAACAGCTTGTTGTATTAGACATCTTTATTTGCAGTATTGCTCAAGTGTACAAATACTGAATGTAGTTATAGAAATTCAAAATATATTGTAGTAGAAATCTGTCTGGGAAGTGGAATGTTAAGGTATTTACTTTATAAAATTACTATACTTATGTAAGTCACTCCCACTGGCAAGTGGGCTATGAAGAGACAGATTACTTTATGGTCCTGCAAAAAAAAAAAAAGGAGTTTTTCTGAGAAAACATTTTCTGCTAGATTAATTCAGTCAACAGCAATCAATTTCTCGTATTTTACTCATTTTGAGTTATCAGCCAACAGGATGCTTGCTACATCCAGACAATTCATACACAATTTGGCTCTTATTTTACCACAAAATAATATGTATCAACATATTTAAGTATTAGTCAGTCTCAGTGACAATATTTATTTTAAGCTAATGAAGTCAAGCCAATAAGTTGCCCCTGACCATTGAGTGCAAGTGATGCTTTTTCACATTTTCAAAAGAGACGCCTTAGTTCTTGAACAAGTCAATACAGCTTTGCAGGAGAGAGACATTGTTCTGGAAAGGAAGAGAATTAGTTTTAGATGAGTGTGACTGAATTTTAATACTGCTTTCCACAATTAAGTCGCTTCTAAAATAACAGATCCATCCTAGGATTTTGTAGCCCCTGACAATACTAAAGAGCTTATACTGTAAAGACAAGCATTCGAGCAGTAAAGCACCAAAACCAGATCACCCAGTCTGCCATCTGCCTCTTCGTGCAGGCCTGCAACCATTACTTAGTTTGCAGGAAAGACAGGGGCAAGAGACAGTAGTAATTTCTTTAAGTGGGCCAAACTGAGCATAAGCCTTTTTTATGCCACACTCAAGCTCAGCAATGAAGTAGCTACCTGTGCTGTAGTCCAGGACTCTTAGGGAGTGGGAAATTAAGACTTTCCTTCTTTAAAAGAAGCTGAAGATGGACAGTTACCTCTTCCTGAAGCTTCTGCTGTTCTCTACACTTAGCAGATACTGTAACCTGCATAGACTTTCTTGGCAGTACATGGTGGTCCCTGAAGCCTACTTCAGGCCTGCTTAGTAAGGCTTGGCAGAGACTGCTACTAATGCAGTGTCCCCCTTCACTGACAAGCCAAGTGAGAAAAGTTACCAGCTAGATCACAATGTGCTCTCACAGCACTGAGGAAGACTTGATGCAGCAGCTGCCTCTAGACACAGAAGGGGTCAAATCCCACAGATGAGGCTACCTCACAGAAGGAGAGCCATTGTGTACTACCTGCAAAACTAGGATTTCTCACTTGCAGTGCAATAGGTTGGTGTCCTAGAAGCAACAAGCTGAAAACAGGCTTTCTGCATGAGACAGATACAACTGTCACAGCATTTGTTCTTTGTATGCATTATTGTCAGTTTGACTCAGGATCAGCACCTACAGCTTTTCACTTCCTTTCCTTCCCACCTTCAGATCTCAGCTGAAGAGCCCAGCTGTTCTATTTCCCACTTCCTAGTTTCAGCAGAACCCAGCAAATCCTCCAAGTTACAGTACTCACTTCTCTCAAGCTATGCCTACTAAATTCCATAAAACACACCTTTGCATGTTTTATTTCCAGTTCTGCCATTTCAATTAGGTTTTTGCGGAATGCTGCTATTCTCTTCTGTTTGAAGCTCAGCAGTTCTGCAGGGAAGAAAGAACAAAGAAGACAGAGGTACCAAGGGCAACTGAAGTGGCAGTTATACCTCTTATTTGTCACGAGTTCTGTTGTAGAGCTCTAGTTAAATTATTTGACCACAAAAAGGTTCAAGAATTAGTTTTGCTGTTTCTAGCCAGAAGATGCATTTACCACACGACACTGACACATTGGTGAGGAAAAAGACAGCTTGTCTAATACAGAAATGTTCTGTAGGAAGACAATTGGAATGAAACAAGTAAGCTACACAAGTACTGTGATAACATAGAACATTTAATAACCAAGAATATTAAAAGAGTAGCATGTGCACCACAGAAGCATGTTTCCTCTGTTTTACGTCATCCAAAGACATCTACTAACAACCAGTATTTGAAACTCTGTATGAGACACTCAGCTGTACTGGAACAGAGTAGAAGCCTGTTTGCATAACTCTAATTGAGATAATCAGAAGCATAAGTAGATACCTTCAGGTGGAGGTGTACTGAACAAAGGTTCAGTCTGGAAAGCAAATATTAGGGGCTTGTAATTAAGCTTAGTCTGGTACTGACATTGCTCCAATTTATACAGTCATTAAAATCATTCAGCTGCAATAATTTTACAGACACATACTACCCTTGGGATGTCCAGACTATTTGCTTTAGGAGAAGTGTTCAGAAGCTTTTAGCAGTTGAAGGTCAGATGGAGACCTGGACTGCACTAAGATCTGCCTTCAGCATAAACACAGTAAAGCCTGTTTTACCTTGTTTTGCAGATTCTGAAATCTTTTCAAACTTCTGACAACAATCCTGTTGATGTGTCTCAGCCAGTCTAACATCTTTGCTCTTTAGTCTGGCTTTATCTAGAGCTTTGTTTGAGTTTTCATAGTCAACAAGAGCCCTCGTACGTCTGTACAGAAGATCCTGAAAGTAAACAGAAATAGTGCAAAGCCTTCAGAAGACTACTTCCCAAACTGTGGTTACATCTACCTTAGCAACAGCAGCTTTCACTTCTTTCAGCACCAGACCCTGCTTCTTCCAGCAAGCTATTACAATCTGCTGTGCTCTTAGCATAGCAAGAGGAGCCTTCCACCAGTGCAGTATCAGGTACTCAGGACAGACACTTCTGCCTTTGTCAAGGAAGTCTGAGGGCTGCTGCAGGCATTGCTTCTTTCCTTAAAGTAGCTTTTCTATAAGATGGTCTTACTCACTTAGGAGTAATAGCACCTTCTGAATTCCCTCCGTCTACTTGCAGTAAGTTTGACACATGAGGCAATACCAGTCTAAGTGCCAATTCCCTTCTAATCTAGCAGCAGTATAGACTTGATACCTGAATAGCAGTACACCACACAGAGGCAGCTTGTACTGACCCCCTTGCCAAGTCAAGTATCAGTTAGAAAAGTGTTGTTGGCAAGGCTTTTGCACTCACATCAGCTTACCAAACCCCTCTTAACAGTCCTGACTCCAATAGCCTTCACAAGTTACCATATACTTATGATAAAGCTCTTTAGCAGTTAGGATTTAATTCAGGATTTTTAACTAGTTATCATTGATTTTACTGACAAGTCGCAATTACTCAGGCAGTGGAAGGGTTAGAATGTTGCTGCAGACTCAAATTCAGCTTGCTCTAACTTAAATCTAATTAGTCCTTCCTCTCTACATGACAATGAAAAACTGGCTGGAGATCTTAAACAGACGGGGCTGAACTGCTCTTAGCCAAAATATAGTTCCTATATTCTGTTGTGGTTTAGGGGTACCATGTTTCTTAGGCAAAAAAAGGGGTCCACTCTCCTGTTTTCTTAAAGCCCAAATACCATGAGTGAGTCATAACACATAATAAAACTAAGCTTCAAAAATAAAACTTCTCACCTTAGCAGCTTCTATATTGAGCATGTAGTATCTCAGCAATTCAGAGAGCTTTAAGTCTTCATCAGATGAAACTCTACTCTCTACCTTCTGCAGAAGAGATCAGATAGTTGGTACATAACAGGAAACAGCAACATCCAGAGTCATTTTTTTTACTCCCAAAAGCTTCTCTTACCCTGAGTTTCTCAAAGAGCTCAGCAACTTTCAACAAGTACCTGGGGGGGGAAAACACATAAAGTTTTAGATACTTCTTAGTCTGATAAAGGCTTGATCAACTGACAGGAAACCAAAAAACTGAAGGCTGGTCTTTACTCCTCCATACCACCCTAGACAACAAGCTTGAAAAAAACTTGGGTCTAGACAGGTCACCCTCAGAAAAGGTGACTACGCTTCCACAGCTTTTAAAACCCTACTATTCTGGAATTTCAAAGGTCCATAAGACACAGGCCTAGGGTAAGCTGTGTTTGTATTTAACAGCACATTAAAACAAAGATACATTTTTTCTCCCATATTTTCTGGAATCTGTGACCTGAAAAGAATTCAAGGAGGCTTCTGTTTAGAAGCAGCTTTGATGACCAGCACAATTCAGCCCTAGGGCACAACTAGCAAAAGATCAGCTAGTTATATCAGCTGCAATTGATAATTTTAGGCCTGTTGCATCATGAGCAGCATAGGAAAGAAAGATTCAATACTACTTGCTTGAAATTAGAGAAACTCAAACCAGCTATGACTCAATCCTCTGGATTTTACAGAAGAAACTTGATAGTCCCAGACTCAGGATATGTTTATGAACAGTTAGAATTACTTACTTTTTGATAACTGTAGGTTCTTCTAATGCCAGGCTGTTCAAGCAAGCTGAAGTATAAATATAGTCATCTGCAACATCTGCAAGAACAAGACAAGGTTTTCAGGCTGATATCAGTAAGACTGCAGGGTCTTTAGAAATGTCTTTGAAAAGACATAAAGACATAAGATTCACTTTTATGAGATCTTGTCATCTTATCTGCTTTTGCACATGCATCCTTGATTCTGTTGTAGTAGTTTACAAGAAAAGTCTTCTCTTGCTCAAAAAACTCTTCTACTTCCTGAAAGAGAGTATTACCTGTTAAGTCAGTTAGACTACTGAAAAACACAAGCTCTTCCTTATTTTGGGAAGGGTCAAAGAAATAACTGTAGCCACATGAGCCTTAAGCCCCTCAGTCTCTGTTAAAGAGCAGAGTTCAAGACAAGACCCTGAGCCAAATTACAGGAGTTTTTCATATTTGCCCTCATCTAGTGCAAGCAGAAATCCATAAATCTTGTTTGTTCAGAGCTCCAAAGTAAACAGAAACCATAAGCACACTTGCTGAAGGTGTAATTCCTTCCTCCCCACCAGTATCAGGTGATAGGCAACACTTCTACATCCACCAGAAACCAAGTATACACTTACATTTTTAACAGTTTATAGCTTCAATGTCTTACTTCTATAGAAGTCAAAATTAATATAAGATACTCCACCCAACTTGGGATAGTAGTAAGTAAGAAGGTTAGCATTAGTAACTGAGGCTCACTCAAAGCCTGAAGCAGACAGAACTTCCATAGAACAGGGAAGCAAGAAACAATCAAGATTAGGCTCAGTAGGAGGTAAACCTTACCTTGACTCCAGAGAATAGGACTTCATCAGCACTCTTTACCACACTTTTTAAAAAGCCACCAAACATCTCCTTTGTGTTTTTCCTCCGAACGCTCAGCTGCAAGAGAGAGGCCAGGACAGCTTTGAAGTCATTCCAAGGGGGAAAAAGTTACTGTTTCAAAATTTGTCTTGTTGTAAGTTCATTTATATCTAACATATGACAGAACAGGCTGATTTCCAAGCTGTACAAAGATGGAGCATGTAACAAATGCCTTGACTTGAACTTGTTCAACTATTCTGCACCCCAGATTTTTCCCATTCCCAGAAACAGCTGAGTTTGCCTTTACATATTTTGGATCATCATCCATCACTCCTAACTGGTGTAACAAAACAGATGCAGTACTAACTTTAATATGCCTTCATTCCTCCAGTTTACGACCATGCAACACTGCACAGGTACACCTGAACAATGCTTGTTCCTAAGGTGTTAAGACATACAAAGTTGGGTTCCTAACCCACTTGGTTAGGTTTAAGAATTATAGCAGAAAAAAAGTCTAAAGGTCAGGCTTTCATCCTTTAACCATCTGACAGAAGTACTGGCAGTATCTGCCTGCTGATGCTGCTTATTGATTTACATAACATTCTGACTATGCCCAGAAAAGTGACAGCACTCCTAGCATCTTGCCTCACTCTGGAAGGAGAAAAATAAGAGCCTTACATCCTGATCATACTCCAGGAAAACATGAAAATTGCGATCTTTGCTGAGCACAGGATGAGAAGAAATCCGCTGAAGGAAGATTTCATGTGATGATACAGTCTTCTTGAAGACAGCGAGGTATTCACTGAAAGAAAAGAACAGACTGAGCTCCTCTTTTACTGTGTTCTTTAATAGACACACAATGGCTTTAAATTTATCCAGTGAAAATATTCAACAGAATGATTCTGAAATAGCTAGCTAGTGATAAAGAAGCTATTTTCAATTTCTTTACCCAGTAAGTTTTCCAGTTTGAGAGAAATTCCTGGCAAAACCTCACCTCCAGGATTTTAAAGATTAAGCAACAACAAACACCCTTCAGAACACTCACACTCAGATCAGTTACCACCAAGTAAATTGCTCCCCCAGGAGGCTTCTAAGTGCAGCTCTTGGCGGTAGACTCATTCTACTTACGCTTCTAGCTCTTGCTTCATTTTGGCAAACTCTTCTTTTGTCATAGACACTTCTCCTTCCCCTAGCTTTTGCATCTTCTCTCGAGGCCCATCAAAGTCAGGCTTTGAAGGTGCTGGAGGTATCTAGCCAAGTAATTGGTTAGTGATAGATGCTAGCAAAAAAAAAAATATTTGCAAAATCACTTCAAGCTTTCTCTGGAAGAAGGCCCTTTTCCCTGGTCATGGCAAGCCAGCAAGGCTCTGGACCTACAAATTTTAGAGGCATGTTGATGTCTAGGCCCCTTTTCGCCCCTCCCAGCTCTGTGCTACCCCTGCCCTGGAGGGAAAACCAAGAGAAACAGCTTCTACAGTCCACCCCTTAACCAGCCATCTTCTGTGGCCCACAGGGCCTCCCCTAAGGAATCATGATAGAAAAGAAAGACTATAACTTATAGAGCATTTCACTGCATTATCTTCAGGCAGATATAATACCACTACAGAGCCAGGAACTCTCAGAGCATTGAACTTTTTTTTCAGCTCCAAGCTTTATGAAAAGTTCACATAAAGCACTACTACTCAAGCTGTTTGGGAATTAAAGTATTGTTTAGAGTTCCATTTTTTAGGAAGTACTTACAATGAGTCCTGCATACTCTTCAGTTTCAGTGAGTGTATCGTGCAGCCACACAAAGTCTTCATGCTGCCTTGTAACTGAAAACTCAGGGCTTTGAAAAGCTGGCAGTGTAGTCTGGAAGAAAGATATAGAAGCCCTACTGTTTTGTAAATTAGTGCTTTTAGAAACATTTCTGCCCATTTCCAAAGGAAGCTATTTTGCCTAGTAAGAGCCTCGCCTACTCCCTTTTAGCTGAGCTGGCACTCATTTGAGAGCCTTACTACTAAGGAAACTATTTGAAGAGAAAGCACTGTTGTGGAACACCATTAATGCAGTTTATTTTGTGAAGCTTCACAGTAGCTGGTTTCCCCACCTCCACCCCCCAGCCTTCTGGTAGGATTCCTCAGAAAAGCCAATTAAAGAGTGTTAAAGTCTTAGGAAAGCTGAAGTTTCTGCAAATATATACCCTCAGGCCACCTTTAAGTGGAAAAGCTTCATCTAATTAGATTTCCTTTATCTTTACAGGTATTTGTATTGCAAACACACAGATTACTTGAATAATATTTATGAAGACCACTTTTGACTCCATGATCTTACCTTAGTATGCACAGTGAACTTCACTCTGTCCTTTTCACTTAGGGCATCAGGTATATCAATTTGGAGAGAAGGATCAACATTCAGGTCTACAGATACAGACCTCAGCTGCAACAGAATTCACAGCATAAGTCTTGGTCAAGCACCAAGTAGATTTAGTGAAGCTAGGCTGGTCATCAACCATCAACAAGAACCATGTTGCGCTGAACAGCTGCCTCCAGAAACAGCCTTGACACTACCTGCACATCACTGTGACAAGCCTTCCCTATTTAATACAGGAAAGGAAAAAGACTTTTAACAATTGGTTCTTCAGACTTTAAGTTATGAGTTCACACTAGAGGTATTTGGGGAGTCTTTTCTCAAAAGAAGCATCCTCCCAATACTCCTCCAGCTTGTTTACTCAGAGCACACTAGGCCAAAGCCTATTATGCCATTCAGAAGACAGCAGTAACCCTAGCAGTCTTATCATTATCCTGTGCCTCCACAATATGTGGCAGGGTAGCTGACCTTGGGGAAAAATTAAGTATGAAACCTCTTTAGGCTCCCATAAAGTCTAAAAGCCAACTGTCTGCCAGAAACTGGACCAAAGCCCAAGAACACTGTGGCACTAACACTGCATCTGTTTAATCCTATTTTCAGGATACCTGGCACAATGTTATTCCTTGCTGCTGGAACGCACATTTGCTGTTAAATAAAGCCCCAATAAGCTGGCACAAGAACTACCCTCAAAGATATGTGAACTTGGCTATACAAAAAGTTATTTATTGCTTGTAACTGCAAGTCACTTCCTCTCCTAAATCCAGGTCGTCTTACCCTTTCTAGATAGAGCTTTGTGTCTAGCAACATGTTAATATTGTTTGTTTCCAATTAGAGCAGCTAGGAAGTTTCTGAGCATGTTATGTGAGGAACCCTTTGGAGGAGACCTCAAAGCATACCAGGTTAAATAAAAGCCAGACTTGCCTTCCCAGTACTTCAGAGAGGCCTCAACCAGAGACACCATCCTCCTTTGGGGACTTACTTCTTCATTCCAACAGCCTACACCCAGAACACAATGTCAACCATACTTGAACTTTTCTAGAGCAGTGGAACAGCCTTGTTGACTATACACCACTAACATCCTCAAGTGACAGTCCTACTGAAACTCCTTATGATTTGAACTTCCTTTATCAAGCTGTACTTCACAGCTTGTAACCAACCATTGAAGACAAGTGGCTTCAATTCCCCACAGGACCTCAGAAGCAAGCACAAAAGTTCAGGCATACCCAGCCTAAATTACTGAGATTAATACATAACCCAGTTCTTACATCAAGTAGATTAAGGTATTTAGATACCAAGGAATCAACTTTTGAAAGCTATTAGACACTAGTGATCACCAGTTTCAGTCACCTGTATTGCAAAAGCATGCAGTAACCTTAGCATATAACCTTAGGGTGGTCCCTGTGCTATGAAACCTGTCTTCCAAGAGGCCCTCCCTTCAGAGCCCCAGGCTAACTAATCATTCATATCTTGTGTATAATGGAGAAACTACCAGAGACCAAGGTCACAACACAGCAAGTTTGGTGAAGAGTAACTGTCAGAGCCAGGCTGAATCCTGAGGTTATCCTTTACAGAGAATAATTCTTAATGCCTTCCCAGAAAGGCAAGCTACAGAAGTGGGCTACAATGTTGTTTTACCATACTTACTAGTGCGCAGACCCCACCAGCCAGGAGCTTGCCCCAACCACCTGCCAAGCACAAGTTTCAGCACCAAAGCCCACAAGCAAAGGGTGCCAGACAGCATCTGAGCAATCCAGTCCTGTCACAGACAGCTTGAATGCTGCCTTAAGCTTCTGTAAAGCTGCATAAGAACTGCTGAGAGGTTGCCCTTTAGAAGGTGAAGCTTTGCTTCCAAAAGCTTTGGAAATTCCCTTCCCCTAGTTTGACCATCTGTGTACTGCAGTCTGGATCTGGCAGACAACAAATCTCCGGCTGCCTGCAGAGGACACAGCTGTTAGGTTAAGCATGAATTTGCCTCCCCCCAGCCTGCCCCTTGCCTAGAGACCCACTACCACTGATGGTTACTGCTGTCATCAGGCTCTCACACGTAAGTGAGGCATGCCCCATTCACCATACCCTCATCCTTCTAGCCATGCTAAAAGGACTTCTGTATGCTGTATGGTAGCTGTTAGCTACAGTTAAGGGGAAGTGCTTTAGCTAAGAGATACACCTCTTTAAGCCTTGTGACTATGAAAATGATGCATGCAGCACACTGAGCTTCTCATTCTGACCTCTGTAGGACAGAAGGCTTTTATTCCATCCTGGGTATTGCCCTGGCAACAAGCAAGGTTGAGCAAGCTTATAGAGCATGCCCTAGGACACAGTTCTTAGCAGTCCCAGCAGTGCTTATGTGCAAGTGGACATGGTAGTACCCCAAACACTATAGGGATTTCAACAGGACAGCTGCTTCTCTCCAGTCACCTTGTAGGACAGATCACTATATTCCCCTACAGGCATTTGTTTCTGGGACTTGCTAGGAAGGCACCAACCAAACAGCACAAAGGTGCATGGTTCAGGGGTCAATGACACTGGTTTAGACAGAAGCTGCCCCATTTGAACACTAGAGAAAGGATAGGTAGAAGGCCACCATTCAGACATGAGTCTCCCTGGAAGCACAGCTCACTGTCTGCTGCCAACCAAATGAAAGGCAAGCTAGTCAGTGTTTCCCAGGCAGATAACACCAGCAGCCAAAGCAGCAAGACGCCGACCCCAGTGTTTCGCATCCTGCTCACTTATCTCCACCGTCCAAACAGGATCAGCAGTGCTAACAATATGAACTGCTGAGTCTAGAAATTATGATAAGCCAAAGGAAACTGCTTCCTCCCAGCTAAACTGAGTAAAAGATCACACAATTCAGCCAGTCCTGAATTTGTGAACTTTCTTATTGAGTCTTGTGGAGAAAGTAACCCATGATCAGATGCTGTCTGTACACCCCTCCATGGCTAGAGTTGCTAGCACAAGAGATTGGCAGGCATCAACAAGAGATGGTACTACCTTGCCAGTTTAAAGCACTTCAGCTGTCATGGGTGTTTTGCCCTTGCACTAGCACCACAAACTGCAGAGGAAATGGGGCAAGAACACATATCCTAAAGCTTCAACAACCCCCAGGAATGCTACTGCCGAAGAGCTTATTGTCCCAGCAGGGTCTTACTTACACAGAAGCAACTGTGAGTCAGCAACACTAAGATGTGAGCTCCAGAGCACTGGATGTGCTATATCTATAGGGCCCAAAGTGTGAGATGAGACCGGAAACAGGACAAGAGTCAAAAACACTCCCATATAAAGTGGCGGGATTCTGCTCCTCAGGACTACATGAAGTCATTTGCTAAAAACATATTCTCCTATCCTAAACATTTGCTGTAGATGTATATGGTCCAGCCTATACCTGAAGGCCACTGCAGGCTCAAACATCAAGCCTAGCACTGTTTGAAGACAACACAGGATTATCACCTCTACCCTTCAGGACCCTGATCTTCAATGAAGGACCTGCAGCTATATGAAACAGAGGATTATAAAAACACTGGTCTGCTCTAGTCCTGTGAAGGTCACTGTGGGCTCCTAACTCCAGGTCAGAGACCTTTAGGATTACACAATCACAGGAGCAAGACTCAGACTACAAAGAGAGCATTCACACTGCCTGACTTCAGGAGGACAGAGTGCTTTGCTTCCCTACAGGAAGTGCCAGGGCAGCATTCTTCAATGAACTGGAAGCAAGAAGCCCTCCTCTTGTTATCACAGTCCTATAAGGCATTAACCCAGTGCACCTGGAACAGATGCTCCACACCAACACTTGGCCAACACAAGTGCCTACTCCTGCAGCATTAGTAGCTCATCATTCAGGACCATTCATTGTACCATCCCTCTCACATCCATCCTACAATCAGGAATGAAGATTAACTTGATTATGGTCACATGAAGACTGTGCAGAGCAGAGGAATTTAACTTTCATCCCCAGGCCCCTTTATCACAGCAGGCACTCAATCCAAGACCTTGCCAGGAAACTACTCCATCTTAGCTCTCTGGCCTGCCATGCCTGGCAGCTCCTTTGTATCTGGAGACATTTCTCTGCTAGGACATCATTGCTTCCTCCCTGTGCTCAAAGCAGTGTGCAAGAGAACTGAAGTTTCCCTACCCCAATTACTAAAAATTAGTCTGTCCCCCAGAACCCTCAGAGAGGAGGGGGGAATATAATCCAAACTCATGGATGAGAGATTATTCCTTACTTGGAGCACATGTCTATCCTAGAGCAACACAGTGAGTAAACATCTGGGTTGGGCTGCAAACTGAAACATTTGCACAAATCCCACAGTGCCCCTACTTTTGCCTCTCATTTCCCTTTCTCAGAAACAGCTTAAGCAGCTTCTGGTTTACAATCACTACAGCAACTGTTACAGCTGCTCTAATACCTTCCAGTTCTAGGTTCCTGCCTTTTCTGTGACTCATGTTGGGATCCCTAGGGTTTCTTGAAGATTCAATAAAAACTTTTCCCTGTTCCATAAAGATACTGTCCACCACAACCCTCTGACCTGGAGATTAGAACATCAAGCAGAGCCCTCCAGAATAAGTCATCATATTAATGTTTCTAGGGTTCAGAACCAGAACACAAAAATACATGTTACAGTACTAATTAGGACACTACCATAATCATCTGACCTGGAAGCCCAGCAGAGAGCATTACTACAACCAATCCAGGGAGAGTTTTACAGCACTTGCTTAGAGATATTTAAGAAAAAAAAAACCCCAAATAATGGATACACCTTCTGTCAACAGAAGGTCAATTAAAACAAACAGTTACTCAAACAAATACTGGTGAATTCAAGTAATCCACACGTGGATTAGTTTTCTGGCACTTGCTTAGAGATATTTAAGAAAAAAAAAAGCCCAAGATTTGGACCATTTAAGTACAAGACAGTGATGACTACCAGCTACCCAGACTTCAACTTGATAGCCCTAAACTTCAGATGAAGCCTCACCCAAAGCAAAGACATATTTGTGCTTGCAAGAATTCAGTGAAAGGAAATGCCCTCAACCACTGAAGCTGCCCAGTTTTGTTGAGTAGCCTAAACTG